AGGGAATGGACCACGAGTTATGTGGCCCCATGCTGCCAGCGTCCAACCGCCCCCAGCTTCCACGGCGGTTCCTTCAGCACCTGTACCCACTCAGGGTAATCAGCAGACCTTCACGGTCGCACGGAGCTTCGCGCAGCATTATTCTCTCCAACCTCCACCCCCATCCCCACCCACAACCAGCTCCTCATCCTCCTCCCGTGCGAGGGCTACCCAGCAGCTCCTAGTCCCCCGCACTGTCTGTTCCGTGTGTCAGACCATAGTGCGTCGGAACGTGACCTCAGTCAGATGCAATTTTTGCTCTGGCTGGTGTCACTTTCGGACATGCTCTGGCCTCCGCCCCACCCGTAAGTGAAGCAATGCGTATGTTGCCCCGTGCTGTAGGAGTCTGGCCCTTCATGCTTCGACAAATCCTCAGCCAACTAACACCAACGTGCGGAACCAACTCTCGCGGGTAGTACAGCAGCAACACACACCACCCACGCATCACTCCCTCACTCCCCGAATCACGAGCGTTCCCCCGAGACAGACCAGACTTCTACAATTTAATTGCAACGGACTCCAGGGAAAGATTGACGAGATAGTCGACTACATTAGCCGGGAGCACCTATCAATTGCTGCGATCCAGGAAACCAAGTTGACCGCCCGATCAGATATTCTGAACAGGGCCGGATACAACAGAATCCGCAAGGATTGCGAGCGAGACCACGGTGGGGGCTTAGCGTTCATCCTGCACAACACCGTGCAGTATCGTCTACTACCCTAGAATATCAGGGCATAGCTATCCGGTCAGGCGATTTCGAGCTCGAAATATGCAATATATACATTCCTCCAGTTACAAGTTGCCCAGCAGGATACACCCCTGATATAGGTGCGCTACTCAGGGGTGAAACCCGTTTGGTTTTGGGCGACTTTAACGCGCATCACGATCTTTGGCATGACGATAGACGATTCGACATTCTGCTCAATGAACGACAACACTCCCATCAGAGTTATGGGTAATTGCAAATGCTCGCCAGACATAGGAATTGCGAGTGCTGGTCTGATAACTTGATCGGACCACTTGACATTTGTTTACTTTAAAAAAGCTAGTTGGCCCGGATTCACGGAATTTACTGAGAACGCCTTCAGTGCTCTTCCCACTCCATCAGACGTCACCACTGGTACAGATTTGATCAGTCTAAGTCGCCTAGGTCATCTAATGGTAGGCCCAGGAAACGAGCTGTTTCGACGGGTTTGGACCAAAGGGAGAGGGGGGTTAGATGAGTTGGTTTGAGAGCGCATGTGAAGGGGTGGTTAGTGTCGTGTGGACACTCTCCACACGCAGGGCATACGTTGGGTATGCTGGGATCTAGTCTGGATAAGTAGGAGTTTAACCTGCTACAGTATCCAGACCTGAATTGTTTCAGGGTCACCCGGGTCTCCCGAGGCAGCACGGGCTCGTTGTCTGCTATAGGTGGTGGTATTTATCCGAGTAAGCCATTCTCTGTAAGGGAGTCCTTGAAGGTGTTGACTGACTCCTGGTGAATGGCGTTTATTGCTTGTCGGAACGCCGTCCTGTCCAGCGGTGGTTGTACGTGTTGATGGATTGCGCACTTTAAATCTAGTACCCTCTTTCTGATGTGCCTAGGTGGAGGTTCAGCCTCTATTAGGTGCCTACTGGGGTGCTCCCTGATGTAGCATCCCAATAGGAACTGCTTGCACAGCAAAGCATTATGCTCGTTAACTCGTAGCATAGATGCTTCCCTGTGCAAGTGATGCTCCGGCGACATCAGGAGGTTCCTGTCGCGGTCCTGAGGGTGGTGTTCTGGCAAGCCTGTAGCTTCTTCATCTGTGTCTCGTTCGTCCCCGGCGCCCAGATCGGTGTAACATAGTTTACGACCGGCCGGCCAATCGCTTTATAAGTAGCCAGCAAAGTTTCCTTGTCTTTACCCCAGGTGCTGCCGGCTAGCGCTTTGAGTATTTTGTTGCGGTTTTTCAGTTTCGCGGAAATTGCGGTCGTATGCGGAGTGCAGGCTGTCTAGAATTATTCCCAATATTTTTGTGTTATTTACCGTCGGAATTTTTCAAATTTTTCTTTGTTTCGATGTTTCACCTAGCCAATATTACCGATGATTGTCGACCACTCAGGTAGCTCATGACCCACCTCTGCCACCCCGGCGGTAATGAGGATTCCTCAATATCCGTTAGTAGCACTGAATAGTTGACTGTGTCAAAAGCTTTTGACAAGTCCAGTGCTACTAGGACAGTTCGCGCGCAGGGTCGGTTTTGGTTAAGGCCATGGACTATCTGGGTGTTTATGGCGTTAAGTGCTGTTGTGGTGATGTGCACTTTTCGGAAGCCATTTGATGTGTTGCTGGACGCAGATGGTGAGTGAAGGTCGGGAGCAGCAAGGCCACAAGTGTCTTCACTAGGTCGGAGAGAAGAGTTATCGTCCGATAGGACTCTCCTTTGTTGGCTGGTTTCCCCGGCTTAAGTAGCGGGACCACCCTACCCATTTTCCACACATCGAGTATCTTCAGGGTGATCAGAGACAAATTGAGGACCCTCGTGAGAAATTCTGCTCCCGCTGGTCCAAGGTGTTTCAGCATCAGCATGCTTATTCCGTCGGGGCCAATGGATTTGGAGGCTTTCGCCTCCCCATGACCCCATGAACCGCTTCCCTGGGGAAATCAAGCACCGCGCTGGTGTTTGGCAGTTTGCGCATACGGCTGGTTACACGTCGTTTCGCATTGTCTACCGAGGGATGCAGTGTGAAAAATCGGCTAAAATAGCTCGCGCATCTCTTCGGGTCCGACGAGGCGCGACCACCGAATGAAATTTCCACCCGGTCATCGCGTCTCGTCGGGTTAGACAGCGACTTGACTATAGTCCAGACCTTGGCTGCCCCGGAGGAGAGGTTGCAGGTCCTTAGGTGCTCCTCCCACTTTTTCCGCTTATGATTGTTGACTACTCTTCGAATCTCCGCGTTTAAATCCATGATTTATCCGGCCCTATTCAGAAGATCTGATCGGGCGGTCAACTTAGTTTCCTGGATCGCAGCAATTGACAGGTGCTCCCGGCTAATGTAGTCGACTATCTCGTCAATCTTTCCCTGGAGTCCGTTGTAGGGAGGCGGTTGGACGCTGGCTGCATGGGGCCACATAATTCGTGGTCCATCCCCTGTGAGTATTAAGGCCTGAGCATGTCTCAAGATGACTCCAACCATTGCACTGGGTGCATCAAACCGAGGTGGAGTCTTCAATGACACACGCAGCAGAAATAATCCGTCGGTCCAGGGTTGGTTTCTACACCAGCCCTGATCACGACAGCCGGTTCTACGCACCGGAGTTGACCCGGATTTTATCCGGCCAAGGACTGTCACCCTTTCGGAGACCTAACCCCGTTTAGGTCTACAGGTAACCTTAGTCTAAGTACGTCAACGGAGCAACACCTCGCAGCTGGGCTGCTCCAAATCCTTCTGATCAGGGCTGGTGTAGAAACCAACCCTGGACCGACGGATTACTTCTGCTGCGTGTGTCAAAGAAGACTCCACCATTCATCCACCTCGGTTAGATGCACCCAGTGCAATGGCTGGAGTCATCTTAAGACCTGCTCAGGCCTAAAGACTCACAGGGAATAGACCACAAGTTATGTGGCCAGATGCTTCCAGCGTCCAACCGTCCCCCCCCCAGCCTCCACGGCAGTGCCTTCAGCACCTGTACCCTCTCTGGGTAATCTACAGACCTCCACGGTCTTACGGAGCTCCCCGCAGCATGATTCCCCCCAACCTCCACCCCCATCCCCACCCACAACCAGCTCCTCATCCTCCTCCCGTGCGAGGGCTACCCAGCAGCTCCTAGTCCCCCGCACTGTCTGTTCCGTGTGTCAGACCATAGTGCGTCGGAACGTGACCTCAGTCAGATGCAA